GGCTTTGAAGATATGAATCGTTCGAAATCTGTGGTTTAGATCTATTTGATTTTGGACCCTTCAGATCAGTTGTGGTTTGATCCAATGGCTATGATTAAGTCCTTTACTAGTATAAAAGCTAGAATCTTACCATTTTCACACTTTATCTTCGTGAAACACTCATCAAAACCTCTCAAGTTTTCTTGTTGTCAAAGTTTTTCGACGATTCTTCCGGCGAGTCTCCTCATTCGTCTAGGTATTCTTTCATTAAGGAGCATTCACTCCAACCCTCAACACCGTTTCTGTAATCTTTTCATAATTTCTTTAATTGTAATGTCTGTCGAGGCGTCTATGGCTATTACAGTGGTCAGAAGTAGGGAAGAGTTTGTATCTGGGGCTTCGGGTGAATGGTATAGCAGTCGAGGAGCCTATAGATTACGAGGTGGGTTAGGGGGCAGCCAAGATTACATCCAACATAACTTCTCCCAAATTAGCTGAATTTAGGGACCCCTATCGCATACCCCATTATGTAGAGCTGATAGTCCCTGAACCCCACGAAAGAGCTTGTTTTCCGAGGCCAAATTGCGTAGCTTTCAGTGAATACCTGCTTAAAGTAGGAGTGCGTCTGCCTCTGCATCCTTTCTTTACGGCAGTGCTGAGGACCTTCATGTTGTCCCCTACTCAAATTCTCCCAAATGGGTGGAGCCAAGTCACAGGGACCTACTTTCTTTGGAAGGAGGTGTCTTTAGGTGAGGACTTGCCTTTGCATGTCTTCGAAACTTTATTTCACGCTAGGGTCGTAGGGGAAGGATGACTCGAAATGGTGGTACTATATCACCCCTTGGGNTTTCATATGACCTCAGTAATCTTAAATTTTCCTTTATTGATTGCAGATAAATTCAACAAGAAGGATTATGCTCTGCCGGACATGGCCAATATTATGAAGGTCACGTCCACTGCTGGGGAGAAGGTGCTGAAGCGTGGGTCCTCGGGGGCAAAGCAAGTGAAATCAAAGCTTGATCGCTTCAGCAAAGACAAAAATGATAAAGAGGTTGAGGAGAAGGGCCCTAAAGAGCTTCAAAGAAGGGTAACCCGCTTGCCGCCAAGGGTAAGGGCGTGGTTGAAGAGCCCCAAAATAAGAGAAAGTTGGGCCCAGGTGGTGGGTCTTCAAGTTTTGGGACATCAATGTCCTATACAGAGAAGGGTATCTCTAAGCAGTTGAAGCTCCTCCAGTCTTCAATTTATGCTGCTTTGGTGGTGCAATCTAGGAAGATAATTGAGGAGGCAACGAAGGCCTCCGAGGCCTCAAAGAAGGTACCGGTGGAGAGGACCCCAGGGAAGTCTGGGAACTTCCTGGGGGGGCAAGGATGACAGCCCTAATAAAGATGCTTCCTCCCGAGGTGAGGGGTGTCACTAAGGGATTCAACAAGTTTTGGATGGAGAGGTGGCAGAATTACGTAGCCACCTGCGATGCAATGGACCTCACTACCACCTTAATGAGCTAAACCGCCAGGCCTTTGGTGTGGCACTTGAATGTCAGACGGTTCTTTCTGATATTCAGTCAAGGAATAGAGTCTCGCGAGATGAACTAGCAGCAGTTAAAATTGAGTTTGAACAGAAAAGGGAGATAAACATTGAGCTGAGAATCCAAAAAGATGTAAATGACACCAAGCTAGAGTCTGCTTTAGCTGAAGTTGAGGCTCTGAAGAAGGAAGTGCATGAGTCTCAATATGAAGTGGTAGCTCTAACAAAGAAGGAAGAACTGTCTGACAAACACCAAAAAGTCGTAGCGGAGGCCCTGGAGAAGGTCAACTTGGCACTTACCGATTGCAGGGATACCAATAAGTTCATGGAGAACGAGCTGAAGTGGTATGCCTCAGAAGTGAAGAAGTATGAAGCTAACGTTTTCGAAGCAGGAGACATAGCAGTGAAGAACTACATTGCCAATTTTCATCTCACCGAAGAGTATCGTCTCTTCGGTATTTTCTGGAGCAGGGTGGCCTACCAGGAGGTTTTTGAATGATTGGAAGAGGTGCATCCGGGGCTGGATATCTTTGAGCTTAAGATAGAATTTATTGAAGAGGTTCCTCAGACCCCAACTGGGAAAGGCGAGGTGGTTGAGCTTGAATCTGATAATACACCAACTGATATGCCTCAGCTTGCAGAAGCGCCTCAATTGCCATCAACTGAAGCTTCCGATGCTCCAGCTCTCCCACCCCCTACTTCATTGTAAATTTTGTAAGGCCTATGGCCTCTGTAATTTGAACTTTTTGATTT